TTTTTTTCTTTGTTTAGTTCATTATATAGTTTAAAGTTATGCCACCTAGCATGAGTGTAAGGTAAATTTAGTGCAAAATTTGTAATTACGTTATCATGTTCTTATAAATTTTTTTGCATAGGGTTCAACGGCTAATCAATCTGAAATTGATGACCTTACAATGGATGGTAATACAACCACTGAGAAAAGTCTTGATGAAGATTGATGGAACAAAGATGATGAAGCTGAAAGCGATGAACTTGAAGATGTAGACATGACGAGCATTAAAGCTTTGGACTATATCTTCCGTATCAATGTGTATTTTAATTTATTTCCTTTTCTGTTTATAACGCAAATGATTAACTAATTTTGAGATGTTGGTTTACTTTCTAATAAATGGGTTAGTTGTAACCCTTTAATATGTTATCATATTATATATTGTTGTTAATACAAGTATTATTTTTTATTTGTCACTGAAATTTTTTGAAATAACCTAAATAGAGCATGCTGGCGTGAAACATGGTATTAGTACCAGTTTTAATAAATGTTAATGTTGGTCAAATAAACTATTACTGACAGAAAAAAATGTTTTACTCACACAATTTTTTGTGGGTAATCCAACTTTTAGCGACAGTTTGATAGATGTTAATATTGGTAAAAACAAGTTATTACCGACAAAAAAGAAGGATTTACCCACACTATTTTTTGTCGGTAATCCATGTTTTAGCGACATATATGTTTTGTCGGTACTCCTCTCTTTTTTAACGACATCATTGGTCTGTCGCTATTACACTAGTATATTTTATCTGTCGGTAATACTTTTACTGACGGAGTTTTTAGCGACAGCGTAGCGACAGACAAATATCTGTCGGTAAAAGCGAATAGCGACAGATATTCAAGCTTTAGCGACACATTGACCCCTGTCGGTATTGCTTCCTTTTTTTGTAGTGTGTATTGGCTCATATGTGAGTAGAAATGACAATTCAACCCGAACCTGAGCTTAACCGACCCGACCGACCACTAAAATATCCGAACCCGAACCGAGAATAAAATAATCCGAACCCGACCCGAAATTTTTTACCCGAATCCGATATCGGTTCGGGTCGGGTGTGGGTTTATTATTTTACCCGACCGACCCGAACCCGACCCGGCTCAAACCCGAATATTTTATAACATAAAAGTCTATCTATGGATATAATGAGTACTCCGTATAATCTCTTGACAAAGTGCTACTATATCAATTATGCCTTTTATAATCATTTTTATACTCCCTCCGTCCTATAATGATCTTCCCGGTTCATTTTACGAAGTTTGACCGACTTTATTTTCAATTCAATTTATTTGATTTTAGGTGTAAAATTATAAAATAAAATTTATATATTTAAAAACTACATCAAAAGTTCTACAAAACAAGTGGTGACAAGACTATATTATTTTATCGAATACCTAATGAAAATAGGTAAAGAAAGTGAATAAAGTTTGATCGGGTAAAAAGTGTGTGGGAAGAACATTATAGGACGGAGGAAGTAATTTCTTAATAAAAAAATGAGACACAAAAAAAAATTAGATGTAATCTTTTTAAAATTATTGGGGTACGCCGAAGTGATTATTAGTTAAAAGTCGGGTTCGGGTTTTTGGTTGGAATGTCGGGTTCGGGTCGGGTTTGGGTTTTGACTTAAAAAGTCGGGTTTCGGGTCGGGTTCGTGTTTCGGTTTTTAAAGTCGGGTCGGGTTCGGGTATAGTACTATCCGACCCGAACCCGACCCGTTGTCATCCCTATATGTGAGGCGGCAGGATGTTGATGCCTCAATATGTAGATGCGAGAAGCTTACGTTGGTAGGAGTACGTAGGGTTGTAAACGAACCGAATCAAATTGAATATTGATGAATATTGTTCATATTTGTTAATTAGTTGTGGATGATACTCCTATTCAATTAGAATATTTTAGATTGGATAATAAGACACTTAGACTGAACCACATTAAAAGATTGAATCCAATCGATTAGTTTGTTCAACTCAATTTATATACCGATTATTTTACTCTTGAACTTCCGATGTGGTATGCACCTTAACACTCTCCCTCAAGTGGACAACCGGGCCATTTTGGATCTAACCGGTTGACCACTTGCAAATAAACTCTCATTCCTTTGAATATTTTTTTAGCGCTAACACCTAAATGACCACGAGCCGCTGGGTATGGATTTCCAGACGAGCAATCGTGTTAAACGGGCCACATGTCGTTGGGTACATACTCCATACGGACAACTGCGCTAAACACTAGCGGGCCGCTAGGAATGAATGTCTAGACGGACACCTTGACAAACGAGGTGGGCCAAAACCTGCTCCGATACCATGATAGAATTTAGGATGGGGTATGAATCGTTAAATTGGGTAATAAGACACTTGGGTTGAACCACATAAAATGATTGAATCAAATCGATTAGTTAGTTCAACTCAAGAGCTTATATACCGAATATTTTACTCTTTAACTTCTGATGTGGGATGCACCTTAACAAGATATTTAATTCGTCTAAAATTTGGTTTGTTTAAAAGTATTTGATTCGTTTAAGAATATTCAATTCATTTAAATTTTAAAATACCTTATAAAGATTAAATTTATTTCTTAAAGAATTAAGAATATGATTTATATTGAACTATTATTTTCAAAACTCTTTGTATGGATATACTCCGTAGTTTGAAATTAGCTACTGAGGAAGAAATTATAAACTCATGATTTACATATTGAAGATGAAAATATAATTTTCCATTTGATTTTTAAGTAATTAGTAAATTACCTTTTTTATTTACTATTTTAACTAATTAATCTTTTCAAATATATTTGTGTAGGGACTGAATCAAATAAAGTTGAACAATGTTAGGGATACACCAAAGGTGTTTTGGTGTACTCCATTTGTCCCCCATCCCTTTCACACCACTCATTTTTATTTTATTTTTATTTACTTAATTTTTTTAGTCTCTTGCCCATTTTTGTTGTAATGGAGGGGGTGAGGGACAAATGGGGTACACCTTTGTGTACCCCTAGCATTTTTCAATAAAGTTATATTCATATCCGTTGGTGTAGCAAATAAAAAGTACTATTCCTATTTGGATTTGAATTCAATTTTTTTAAATACGGATTCGATACGCACAAAAGAATATGAATCACGAATCGAATCAAAATTATTTAGTTCATTTACAACTCTAGTTGGAGGAGAATGGGAGAAGTAGACTTAGAAAGAACTGGAGGGAGGTATGTAGAATTTCGAAATTGAATTGCTTGCCGGTGACTAGACAAGACTTGAGACTTTTTATTCTTATTGGGAATATGACTTTAGATAAAAGTGTTTGGAGAGATAAGATTAAAGTAGTAAGGTAAGTGTCTTGGGGTAATAGTAGTCTTTTGTACTTGTTCTGCGTGCTATTTAGGTATTTTATCGTTTCGGTATTTTTCAGTTCAGTAATCTCGATTTTTCAAAACATTTCGGGATTGGTTCCGTACTCACTCACCCCTACTTTCATTTTTTGGATAAATTTTCGAAGATATTATTATTTCCTTTTTTTAGCACTATCTTTAACCATACAATTCTTTTTTTTCACTCGTGTCTGATTAGTTGTGTAATATTATTAGAGAACGAAGGGAGTATATATAGATTTGTGTAGGGATGATGGAGTTAAAAATGTAATCCATTACGCATAAAAAATCAGGAAATGGAAAGTTTTTTCATGTAAAGAAACTTGGTCTAATTGTTCTTTCCTTTCATAGGAAAAGATTTTGATCATCTCTTACCATACTGGTCTTACGTGAATATTTAGCCTATTTAGGGACTAACTAAAATCTGATTTAGTTAACAAATATATTATTAAAGTGCGAAAATATAACCTAAAAATGGAATTAGATACGAGTAATGAAATATTTTTATTCCATGAATAGGAATTCGCATTGTGGTAATGTGGTATTGTACATATACATCGTACTATACTTTTTGACAATGTACATGATCATGATTGATAATGTAAATGCAATTTAACTCATATTTCGAGAATAAAAATATGAAAATTCTATTTTGGTATATTTTCAATGTTTTACTCATACTTTGTTTTTTGCCCTCATATTCTGTCCATTTATTTTTAACTCACCATTATATTTTGTGATACATTAAAATTTTGATATTTCTAAATACTACTCACCCAGTCACCTATAACAACTAACATATTGTAATGCCTATTCATATATATTTTTTCGGCATGTTATGAGTGAGCTTCTCATAAAAAATATTTGGACTAGTCCTCCTACATTCAAGCTAAGCCAACGGTGAAACTCATTAAAATTTGATCGAATAACATATTTGTTCATTCTTCGACGAATCGATTTCTCTTTAGAGCGTGAACAATGGCAAGTAGAAAAATGAAATGACACGCTGGCGTGGCGTATTTCAACCAATAAGAAACAGTCTAGTCATAGAGTGACATGTGTGTGGAGTAGCAACCCCTACAATGACAAGTCATTCTTTTTATCTTTTTTTTTTTTCAAAAAAATGATGTATTGTGATTAAAAAAATTATTTTATCATGTATTTTATCATTAAAGGATATTTCTACTATCTTCATAAAAAGCTTATTTAATTTCTTTCTTTTGAGAATATGAAAATTTAAATCAAGTTGATTTTAGATTCTTGGAGAAAATAGAAGAAAAATCAATTCATCAATAAAAAAGTAAACTTTATTCTCCAAAGATTGGCTTTACAAAATTGTAGCAAACAGTTTATAACTATTTTTGTTTTGAGTGGCCAGTTTATATGCTACAGTACAAATCTTCACAAAGGAAAGAGAGAAGAGCTGAAAAAAAGAGAGAAAAGAGGAGCAAATTGAAGAAGACAGCTGAAACAAAAAATAAAAAAGAGCAAGATTGCCTCGGTGATGCCTCACAAAGAGGGGTGACACGCTTGGCTCGCCTCACTAATGAACATACAAAGTCTGATGTGGCATGGAGTGGCAAGGCTTTGCCTTGCCGCTGCCAATGCTCTTAGCCTCTTTCAAATGGAATCTCTAATGTATTTTATTTTTCCTTTAAAATTCTTTTACTGCCATTTGAAATGCACTAGTCATTTAGGTGTTGGTCCCAGGCTGAAGTTAGTGCCTTGCATGGAACACCATGATCATCTGCCACATGAACTGCAAGAACTAAGCCAAGGCAATATATTTGTTTGAAAGAATGCAGAACCTTTATTGGATTTACATCAACATGAAAGGATGAAGCAATAATTAATTCTAGAGCAATATTTTCAAGGATCTGATTAAGTTATGAAATTTGAAACCACCATTTTTTGGCATTTCTTTAAACATGTGATCCTGAATTTTCAAGTTTTTTTGGACATGTACAGAGTTCACAGGAAGTAATGTACACAATTCAATTTCAGGAAGAAGAAACAAAGGGCCTAAACTGTCAAATATATATATATATATATATATATATATATATATATATATAAATCTTCATTCAAGAACTTTTCTTCTCCTGCTTCTGCTTTTCTTTCCATTCCGCAATCTCAGATTTGATCTTAGCTTCAACACGGGCATGGAAGCCTGGATAAGGTTCATAGCCGAAGAATGATTGAAGAGCCTGTAGGTATCACATATATTTCAATACATCTCAAAACCATGAACGTACATTTAGTGCGATAAACCCAACCATTTCAATGCTTTCTGAAGAGACAAAGTGTTCATTCTTACCTCCAGCAGGACAAAGAAAGGAGCCATGAGGAATGCCTGTGTGAGATTGTCCAGCAAAGCCGGAGCTCGTTTCTGCAATACAAACCAAGACCCAGACGGGGGTTGATCGATGAATCAAACTCTCTTAGACAGAAGAAAAGGGAAACTATATCAAATCAAATCTACATATAGTACCTCAAACACACCATGACCTATGAACTGCCCTGTCCAGCACAACAGCTGGGCTCCAAGAACAACCTGATCAATCAAATGTGAGATTCCACTGTTAACCATTATTACACATTCTGCCCAAAATATGAACTGCTCTATATGTTAATTTTTGAAAAAAAAAACTGCCATTAGATCATCTCAAGATTCCATCCAAATGACAATGACAGAAGTGAAATACAGAAAAATCTTGAAAACCCTAACCTTCCAAGCCAAGGAGAAGCCGAGAAGAAGAGCAAGGCGACTGCTAGAGACCCAACAGAGAAAGCAAACGAGAGCTGCGAAAGAGCCAGCTTTCTTGTCCAGGCACACATAGAAGAGGGCGTAGATGGAGGCCAGCAGGAAGCCATAATTGAACACCAGAAGAGTACGGGAGCCGAGCTGGATCGGAGAAGCGGCGAGAATTGGGGGAGTGAAATACAGGAGGAGCAGAGCGGTGAAGAAGATTGGCCAGACGAAGATCATGTGGATGAAGATGTTGGTCGGGTTGCTGTGGTATGCTCCATAGAAGGCGAAGTGCTTCTCCAAATCAAACAAACCCATACTCCCTTCCTTCGCCTTTATCTGATGAAGATGATGGGATTGAATAGTAATGAAGAAATGTTTTGGAAAGATTGAAGATTTCTTCGACTGTGGGGTTGGGTCGACTGCGGATTGTGAA